GTGCCTCCACACCTCTCCCCCGCACGGTCGCCGGTGCGAAGAACGTAGGGGCAGGGACCAAACGCACCACCACGCTGACGCTGCAAGTACCACTCACGGAGCTGCTGAGGGGCGGGGACGGTGCGAGAGCGCTGCTGCTGCTGTGGCTGCGGCTGCTGCTGCTGGCGCTGACCACCCCCAGAGCCGCTCCGCTGAGACGAGCCACCCCGACCCCCGCCGCCACCGCCACCCCCGCCTCCACCGCCACCCCCATCTCCACCGCCACCGCCCCCACCGGCACCCTCACCCACGCCTCCTCCGCTACCTCCTCCGCCGCCACCTCCGCCTCCACCGCCTCCACTAGTACCTCCACTCCCGCCACCACCTCCACCGCCACCCCCACTCCCCCCGCCACCCCCACCTCCCCCGCCACCGCCCCCTCTAGCTCCACCCGCTCCCTTGCCCCCTTTGCCCTTGCCATTGCGGCGTCTACCGCTGGGGGCAGACGCCGCACCGACCGACTCAAAACCAGCGAGGTCGGCCGCAGCGGCAGAGGCGACGGAGGGCAGCAGGGGGGAAGGAGAACACCCCTCAAAAATGGGGGTGCGAGGGTCACCCCGAGAGGCCCCTACAGCGACGATGCTCTTCTCAGCCGCTAGCAGGGACTCCTCAAGGAGGTCGACAGTGAGGGTGGTGGGACAGACAGAGAGAAACTGGTCCCTAACTACACGAAGGGACTCAGGGAGACGAGTGACGAGAAAGTAGAGAGTGATGTACATGGGAGGAGGGTTTGCGGCGCGGAACTCAGCAGGAAAGGCAGCGCGGTAGCGAGCGTCACTAGCGCGGAGGTGGGTAACGAGGTCAGCAACAGTGGGAAAGGCAGCGAGGTCAGGGAAGAGAAACGGTAGCATGAGGCGGCTAAGCGTAGCGGAGGAAGGGGAGGAGTAGCGTGCAACTACAGCGTCGTATAAGGCCTGAGCGGTCTTGCACTGACTAAAGTGGGCACGCTCGGAGGAAGGGAGGTGGCGACGCACAGCAAGACGTGCAGCAGCATCGCGGGTCGCCCACTTGGAGCGAACGGCGGGGTCAGCATCAGCAGGAGGGGCAGGGACAGCTCCAGAGACAAAGTCAAAGAGAGAGACCTCATCTATCGCATCACACAGTAAGTACAGCTGCAGGTCTTCAATCCAGACTGCAAAGTCAATGGCTCTACCCTCAGCGTCAAAAGCTAGGACAGTGGGGGTGGCCATGACAGCAGCTGACAGTCTCACCGGGTAGGAAAAGTCGGGTAGGGTCAGCGGCACTGAAACACAGCCCAGGAGCAGCAGTGGCCCCACAGGAGCAGGAGTGCGGCTCCACTGGCAGCTCGGGCGGCTCGGGCGGCTCGGGCGGCTCGGGCGGCTCGGGCGTCTCGCGCGGCTCGGGTGACGCAGGGGCTCACGGGCGGCGCGGGCGGCTGCACGGGCGGCTCACGGGCGGCTGGGGCTGCTCACGGGCGGCACGGTGGGCGGCTGCACTGGCGGCTGCACGGTGGCGCGGCGGGCTGCAGCACGGGCGGCGGGGCCGACGGTGGGCCGTAGCTGGGCTGTAGCGGGGCCGGCGGCGGGCTGAAGCGGGGCCGACGGCGGGCTGTAGTGGGGCCGGCGGCGGGCTGTAGTGGGGCCGACGGCGGGCTGTAGCGGGACCGGCGGCAGGCTGGGGCGGGGCCGACAGCGGGCTGTAGCGGGGCCGGCAGCGGGCTGTAGTGGGGGCCGACGGCGGGCTGTAGCGGGGCCGACGTCGGGCTATAGCGGGGCCGGCGGCGGGCTGGAGCGGGGCCTACGGCGGGCCGACTGGGTCTAGGCGGGGCCAACGAGGGGCCGTAGCGGGGCCTAGGCGGGCCGACGGGGCCTAAGCGGGGCCGACGCGGGGCCGTAGCGGGGCCTAAGCGGGGCCGACGAGGCCTAAGCGGGGCCGACAGGGCCTAAGTGGGGCCGACGAGGCCTAAGCGGGGCCGACTAGGGGCCTAAGCGGGGCCGACGAGGGGCCTAAGCGGGGCCGACGAGGGGCCTAAGCGGGAGCACGGCGGTAAGGGCGACACGGAGGGTCGCTAAAAAAAAAAAAAAAAACGCGCGCCTCGGGGCGCGCTTCGGTGGGCCCTAGGAACAGTCCCTAGGAAGGGACCTGCTCTGATTCCATGAGAAGATATGAACGAGAATGAAATGACTATGAACGAAGTGAGTACAAATAGGAAACCCTAATTTGGGTTGTACCCCCTATGGGATACCCCACTATAGCCTACAGAAACAAGTAAGCTATATGTTCTGTCAGGGATGTATCAAAAACCAATCTTACAGGACAGCTTCCCCCAACATTGAACAAGCTTTCTAAGCTTGAAACCATGTAAGAAGCGCATCTGCTTTCTCCCTGAAATGCTGCAAACCATGCGTGCAAAGCTTGTCTGCAAGCATCAACACATGCGTGGACTACCAAGCCTGGTGCAAAGCGTGTCCATGCATGCAAAGCTCGTCTGCAAGCACCATCACACACATGGTCTTCTGTTACTGTTTGCTTCGAAACGCTACTCCAAGCTTTCACATCAATAAAATGACCTGTAAACAACTGACTCTTCCTCTTGCAAATGCAGGGATTTCGATGAGAACAAAGTCACATGCCCAGCTAACTACACTCCATGTGTGGTTCAGCAGGATTCTCAAAGCGTTTTCTGCCTCACGTGCCCCTCCTGCACCACATGTGGACAGTCAGCACCACGTGAGCCAAAAACAGATCCTGAGGCTTTCTTTGTCATCTCCCAAACATCAGAATTCTGTGAAATGGATTTTCGGCATTAAGTGACCATCAGGCATGAGCAAAAATCCAAGCTTAGGGCTCCGCTTGGCAGCGAGCCAAGTTCAAGTTCGCCTTTTACTCATGCCTTGACCTATGCGCCCCGCCCCTACTTATGCACCACATCATCACTCATTGAGCACATCATTACTCTTGCACCACGTCATTACTTATTCACCACATCATTACTCTTGTACCACGGCATTACTTATTCACCACATCATTACTCTTGTACCACATCATTACTTATTCACCACATCATTACTCTTGTACCACGTCATTACTTATTCACCACATCATTACTCTTGTACCACGTCATTACTTATTCACCACATCATTACTCTTTCACCACATGTATCAATGCAATACCACGTGAATCAACTTCTACTTTCCAAGCTATGTATATCCTTTTTCTCCTCTCTCTCTCTCTCTCTCTCTCTCTCTCTCTCTCTCTCTCTCTCTCTCTCTCTCTCTCTCTCTCTCTCTCTCTCTCCCTCCCTCCCTCATTTCCCTGTTTTTCTCTCTGTACCCACATCAGCAGTGAGGCTGTGCTCTTGTTCGTACTTACCATTCATTCCAACACACGTTTCAACCTCACAATTTTGCCATGCACCACCTCCCATTGCACTGCAGCCCATCCTTTTCCATCTCATCCCTGTCCACCCCTCACAATCCACACTACAGGACCGCCCTCCCCATCTCCAGCGCCCACCTCCTTACCTCCAGCGCCCGCCTCCCTACCTCCAGCGCCCCCTTCCCTACCTCCTGAGCCCTCTGAAATTCCAGCGCCCCCCTCACTGCCTCCAGCCCCCCCTGCCCCTACCTTCATCACCCCCTTCCCTACCTTCAGCACCCCCCTCCCTACCTTCATCACCCCCCTCCCTACCTCCAGCACCCCCCTCCCTACCTTCAACACCCCCCTCCCTACCTCCAGAGCCCAACGCAAAGTCCCCATCCTCCTCCTCAGCAACCCCGTTCTTACGTGAAGCTTTACCCGACCTCCAGAGCCCCCAACAACAGCCCCAGTCTGGAGGCGGTTTCTCTCTGGGAGCGTTTGTTGGCGTTGCTGTGGGTGCTGTGATGCTGCTGATCGTTGGCGTGCTGCTGTGGTGGTGGAGAGGCCATAAGAAACGAGCGGCACATGGAGCAGGTATCTTAAAGATTGTAAAGAAGACTAAAATTCAGGAAACTTGTTTCTTCTTCCTCCATCTGATGCTCCCCCTCCTTAAGTAAGCGGCGCACTAGGCTTCTTGTTCTGGGTAATGAGAAAAACGGAAAACGGAAAAGCAATCGAAGTGCTTTGGAGAAAGTCTTGGGAATGTTATGCGGTACTTCAGGCATTTCAATAACCGGCTAGTGATCCTTTCACCTTTGTTCTATTCTAGGTCTAGCAGACTGCTGAGATTTGAAAACAAAATTAAGTTCTAATCATTTTACCACAGTATCGCCCCACTATTGACCGCTGATGCAAAATGTGGAGATTTACTTACTCGTAAGTTATGTGACACACTATCGCCCCACCAGTCACCTCATGTGAACACGCAGAACTACATGCCACAAAGGAAGATCCAGAGAAAGCAGCAGCGGCGGCGGCAGCAATAGCAGCAGCACCATCAGCAATGGGGCCCCAGAATGCAGACGTGGTGGTGGAAATGGGATGGGAAACGGGGAAGGATGCAGCACGGCCGCACTTGTGCCAGGAGTATTCCCTTCAGGAGCTTGAAAGGGCAACGGCAGACTGGGCCGAGGAGAACAGGATTGGCAGCGGCAGCTTTGGCGATGTGTACAAGGGCGTGTCTCCACACAGCTGCTCCCAAGTGTGGGCGGTGAAGCGAGCGCCAGTTCTCACCAACGACTTCCAGACAGAGGTATGAGCTTAGATCAACACCATGACTGAGGTATGAGTTTCAACACTATTAGCGAGCGTGGATGACTCACTTCCACCAGGAGCGATGTTCTCAACATCATGAGCCAATTTTCATGTATCTACGTTCAGTACCTTTTCCAGCCTTGATGCTCAATAATTCTTCTTATGCTCCCACTCCCTCTATTATGCCCTCGCCCTGCCACCCCTCTCCCCACCCCCTCCCCTTCCCCCCCTTCCCCCATCGCCCTCCCCTTCCTTCCCACATAAAGGAGATGAGTAAAAAGCACCATAATTATCGAAATGGACAACGGGCACCACCATTAACGAAATGGACAACTGGGCTCTTGACAGCCCCCACTCTCTCTCTGGTGCCCTTCCATGTCCCCCACTCTCTGCTCCATTCCCCCACCTAACCCGCTTCCCCCTTCCCTCGTCGCTCTCCCTTCCCTCCCAGGTGAGGGAGATGGCAAGCAAGCACCACCCGCATCTCGTGCGGCTGCTGGGCTATTGCATTGACTTCAACCCATCCACATGCCACATCGAGCAGATCTTGGTCTATGAGTACATGCACAATCACGACCTTGAAAGCTGGATCGGCCCGGGTGCCTCCCAGCCTCTGTCCATGAGGCAACGGCTGGATGAGCTGATTGGAGTGGCCAAGGGGTTGCAGTATTTGCATGACTTTGGGATCGTGCATCGCGACATCAAGCCCGCCAACATTCTCCTCGATGCAAGAATGCAGGCATGCTTTTCCTCTTTTGTTCATGTTGCAGAGAAATCAGTCAAATTGTTCTGACCAACTTTTTGCATGTGGTGCAACGTTTTGCCTCTTTCATATGCTTCAAGGAGTCGTGCCATCACAGCCCAAGTTTGATGCTTCAGTTTTCTTTGTGATTCTGCTCATGCATTTCTGATTTGAGAATCGGGTTTGCTCATGCATTTTAGAATTGGATTCGCTCATGCATTTCTGATTTGATAATGGGATTTGCTCATGCATTTCTGATTTGAGAATGGCATCGCTCGTGCATTTCTGATTTGAGAATGGGATTCGCTCATGCATTTCTGATTTGAGAATGGGATTTGCTCATGCATTTCTGACTTGAGAATGGGATTCGCTCATGCATTTCTGATTTGAGAATGGTATTCGCTCATGCATTTCTGATTTGAGAAACGGATTCGCTCATGCATTTCTGATCTGAGAATCGGATTCGCTCATGCATTTCTAATTTGAGAATGGGATTCGCTCCTGCATTTCTGATTTGAGAATGGGATTTCGCTCATGCATTACTGATTTGGAAATTGGTTTTCTCTTGCAATTGTGATTTGAGAATCGGATTTGCTCGTGCATTTCTGGTTTTTAACCAATCTTTGCTTGTACAGGCCAAGATAGCGGACTGTGGGCTGGTGAAGCTGAGTGGAGGCACCTCTATGGGCACCTCTGTGGCCGCCACTCGAGTGATGGGCACACCGGGCTATGTTGACCCTGCTTACTACAAGACACACAAGGCCACACCAGCAGCAGACGTGCACAGGTGAAGTGCGGTGTTGAGTTGTGTAAGCCGCTGTTTTCATACATGTTGGAGTGATGGGCACACTGGGCTATGTGGACCCCGCCTAATACATTACACACAAGGTCACACCAAAAGCAGACGTGCACAGGTTTGTGGTGAACAAGGTGTTGGGTGGAAGAATGCACAAGTGAGGAGGCTAGATGGAAGGCCTTGTGCTGTTTGCCATTGCATGTGGTGTGATCTTTCTCTCATTCTCTTTGCCATGTCACGTAGTGTTTTCTGGTGCTCATGCAAGCAACTGCAATTTTCTGGTGCTCATGCTCTTCTGTGCGCAGCTTTGGGGTGGTGATGCTGGTGGTGATCACGGCACACAAGGCCGTTCACATGGCAGGCGACATTCAGATCAACCTCAAGCAATGGGTGAGGCTAAGCTTTGAGGCGCCTACAAGAAGGCTGTTTGATGAGGCGCCCAAAAATAGGCTGACTTCTGAGGCGCTTAAATATGAGGTAGATTTTCTAGGCACCCACAAAAAGGCATATCTTCGAGGCGCCGAAAAAAAGGCAGATTTCTTAGGTGGCCCCACGCCACTCTCACCTCATGATAGACATAATTCAGATCAACCTCAAGTAATGGGTGAGGCTTGACCTACGGATATAAACATGGGACCACCCAACCCAACAATTGCAGGGGCTCTTATCGCGTTTTGACCCATCTGAAAACGTAACTTGCCAGCCCAACACATGCCGTGGTTTATTCTTGCATCTCTGGCATGTCTTAAATTCACCCTTGCCATAGTGCGCTCGATTCTCACCGGGTCTCCATCCTTCCAAACCTCCCTGCTGGTGGCTCTCCTGGTGGCATTCGGTGCTGTAGCATGCATGCTTCAAGGACCCTCACATGGATGCTCACCATAACTGTAGCTAGCAAGATTCTTACCGAATCTCCACCCTTGCAGCCCTGCTTGCAGGCGGCTCAATTCGTGGCATTTGACAACATGGCGTCATTCAAGGACCCTAACTTCACTTGGATGCTCCGGATGACTTAATCCTGTGCTTGGCTCGCCTCGCCCTCACCTGCAATGCCATGCCCACGGCCTCCACTCTTCCCACCCTGCATGCAGGTGGCTCCTCTGGTAGAACCTGGGCGCTCCAGATGACTAGGTGCTGTGCCTGGCCGAATGCTCACCAGGCTTCCTTTTTACAACCAACCCTGCATGCAGGTGGCTCCCCTGGTGGCATCTGGTGATGTGGCAGCATTCAAGGACCCTCACTTGGATGCTCCAGGTGACTTGCTGCTGCGCCTGGCTCGCCTCGCCCTCACCTGCACGGCCATGCCCACGGCCTCCCGCCCCACCATGGGCCGCGTGTTGGGCGATCTGCTGGGAATGAAGGAGGAGGTGGGGGTGCTGAGGCGCACAGAGCTGCATGCCGCATTGACAGAGAGATTGGCAGCTCAGCGGCTCACACAGTGGACTTTGATGCCCAGCTGGCTCGTGTGGAGCAGATGGGAACTCAGGGCCGTTCATCTAGTGATGCATGATGTGTTGTAGGTGTGAGTGCTGCACCACCCATTTTCACACACACACATACACACACACACACACGCACACACACACACACACACACACACACACACACACACACAGGGTTGCCATTGTTGGGGGACGTAGTGGGAGCTAGGATGGTTGGGATCAAAGGCAAAGAATGAATGACATAGCTATTTTATCTACTTTAATTTAAAGCCCAGCCCCCGAATTGCAAAGAGGCTTTCACAATGATGCCAGTTTGTGTCTCGCTCTTACTGGTTTCGGGAAAGAAACGTTTATGGGAGGTTTTCGAACCTCAGATCTCTGCTTTCCCAAACCTGTTTTCCTGCGTTGACTTCCGTTGAGTAATTCGAGTGTTGCCCATTAAGAGAGAAAGTCTGTTACCTTCACAACAAACTCTTCTTATAGTCAAATCACAATCTACGAACATTTCGAAGTGAACACTATTTTTCCTTTATTTGGTGTAGGTAGTTGGTGATTTATGAGTGTTAATATTCTCAGTGAAAAAAATCTTGGTGCATTGCATCCTCTTGGTGCAAATTAACCTCACTAACCTGGATCTTACCGTAATTTCTTATGACTGCCTTATATTGATCCTGATGTATACAGACATGGTTACATATGAACGCATGCATCATAAGGAACTGTGATCTTACTCATTAGCGCATGCATCAGCAAATGAATGGTTCTCCGGGTACATCTGCTGAATTCCCATCTGCTCCACACGAGCCAGCTGAGCATCGAAGTCAACAGTGTGAGCCGCTGAGCTGCCAATCTCCCTGCCAATACTGCATGTAGCTCTGTGCATATCATTCATGCATTTCTAGATGAGCTACTCCGTTGGCCCATCTGCTCCACAATAGCCAGCTGGGCATTAAAGTCCACCGTCTAGTAACGTGGACTGCTGAGCTGCCAATCTCCCCGTCAATCCAACGTGCAGTTCCGTGTGCCTGCGCACCCCAAGCACCCTTTCCTTCATGCCCGTCTGCTGCACACGAGCCAGCTGACCACCAAAGGTTCGCACCCACAACAAATCATGCATTTCTGGATGAAGTGCTCTGCACTCCCATCTGTTCTATTCCAGCCAGCTGGGCATCAAAGTCCACCGTGTGAGCTGCTGAGCTGCCAATTTCCCTGTCAATGCGGCATGCAGCTCAGCTCTGTGCTTCCCAGCCAGCACACAGCTCTGTGCCAGTCATGCATCTCCAGACAAATGGCTCTGCGCTCCCATCTGTTCTATTCCGGCCAGCTGGGCATCAAAGTCCACTGTGTGAGCCGCTGAGCTGCCGATCTCTCTGTCAATGCGGCTTGCAGCTCTGTGCGCCTCAGCACTCCCAATCACCTCCTCCTTCATGCCCAGCAGATCCCCCAACACGCGGCCCATGGTGGGGCGGGAGGCCGTGGGCATGGCCGTGCAGGTGAGGGCGAGGCGAGCCAGGCGCAGCAGCAAGTCATCTGGAGCATCCAAGAGAGGGTCCTTGAAGGATGCCACGTCACCAGATTCCACCAGAGGAGCCACCTGCAAGCAGAGTGGGAAGGATGGATGCGTAGTAAAAATCTGGCACGCTACAGTAACGGTGAGCAATCAAGTGAGAGGCCTTGAATGCCGCTACTTCGCCAGATGCCACCTGAAGGGCCACCTGCGTCGGGGCATCATGATAGGGCACAGCGATGTGATTATGTGGCTTTGTAGAGACTGCTTGGCCATTGCGAAATGAATATGTGGCGCCACACAGCTGATGATGGTCCTTGGATGGAAGGATGCCACTGAGCCGGATGCCTCCAGAGGAGCAGCCTGCATTGCTGGAAGAAAGGAGGCCCGGTAAGAATCTGGCATGGAACTGTAAGGGCGGGCTCATGTCATAATTTGCCAAAAAGAGGCTGGAGAATGCTTGAGTGCACTTTTTGGGTTGGTTGCCATGCTTGGTTCTACGACTATTTGCTTCAATTGAGTCTCTCCTGTTGCGTGAGGTTGATAATGTCATCTGTCATGTGAGCCAACCCTTTCTGAGGTGCATAGAAATTCAGCTATATTGAGGCTACTGCCCGCCTAGAAGAACGACCTTTTGAAGGAGTCTCCTCTTCGAGCTCCCGTCGCTGTTGCAGTGGCCTAGAATAATAACTTTTTAGATGGCGCTTAGAAACACGATTTGTTTTTTAATTGCCTCAGTGTTGAGCCTCACCCATTGCTTGAGGTTGATCTGAATGTCGTCTGCCATGTGAACGGCCTTGCGGGCCGTTATGACCACCAGCATCACCACCCCAAAGCTGCCATCAGAAGAGCACGAGCAACAGAAAAATACCACATGGAATGGTAGACATCATGATAAGTAGAAAATGCCACATGCAAAGGAAAAGAGTACGAGAAATGGAAAATGCCACATGCAAAGGAAAAGAGTATGAAAAACAGAAAATGCCACATGCAAAGGAAAATAGTATGAGAAACGGAAAATGCCACATGCAAAGGAAAATAGTATGAGAAACGGAAAATGCCACATGCAAAAGAAAATAGCATGAGAAATGGAAAACTGCCGCATGCGAAGGAAAATAGTATGAGAGACAGAAAATGCCACATGCATTGGCAAACAGCACAAGGCCTTTCATCTGGCCTCCCCGCTTGTACATTCTCCACCCTGACACCTTGTTCACCACCCACCTGTGCACGTCTGCTGCTGGTGTGGCCTTGTGTGTCTTGTAGTAAGCGGGGTCCACATAGCCTGGTGTGCCCATCACTCGAGTGGCCGTCATAGAGGTGCCTCCACTCAGCTTCACCAGCCCAAAGTCCGCTATCTTGGCCTGATTGTAAATAGAAAATGCATGATCACATAGAATATTTTGCTATCAAACTTGGGCCGTGAAATGCATGCAAAGAGCAAACCTTTGCATCACATGCAACAAGTAAACCGATTTCTACCCAACATGAATAGATCAGCAAGAGCATGCCTGCATTCGTGCATCAAGGAGGATGTTGGTTGGCTTGATGTCGTGATGCACGATGCCATGCAAATACTGCGACCCCTTTGCCACCCCTATCAGAACATCCAGCCGTTGTTGCAGGGAAGGGGGGAGTGAATAGGTAAAGTGAACGTGCCTGCATTTTTGCATCCAGGAGAATGTTGGCGGGCTTGATGTCACGATGCACAATGCCAAACTCATGCAAATACTGCAATCCCTTTGCCACTCCAATCAGCACATCCAGCCGTTGTAGCAGGGAAAGAGGCTGGGAGGCGCCCGGGCCAATCCAAGTGTCAAGGTCGTGGTTCTGCATATACTCGTAGACCAAGATTTGCTCTATGTGGCGCGTGGATGGGTTGAAGTCAATGCAATAGCCCAGCAGTCGCACGAGATGCGGGTGGTGCTTCGATGCCATCTCCCTCACCTGGGAAGTAAGGGGAGGGCGAAGAGCGAGGGGAAGGGAGAGTTTTGAGGCGCCGCAAAACTCATCTGTTTTGGATGCAAGCAGTGCTTGCTCGTCATCTCCTTCACCTGGAAAGGAAAGGGAGGGCGAAGAAGGGCAGGCAGGTAAGGGTGGGAGAGTGGGGCAAAAGGGGAGGTAGGGCAGGGTGAGGGGTATGACAGAGGGAGTGGGAGCAAAAAAGGACATCATGAAAGGAAAAGGCTTGAATATGTACAGAGGGAGTTGAATAGGTATACAGAGGGAGTTGAACATGTATACATATAAAAATAACTCATACCTCTGAGGACGTTGGTGAGTCCTTTCGCTCATGGTGTTGAAGCCTTCAAGTCAAAAAGCTCATACCTCGGTTTGGAAGTCGTTGGTGAGTACTCGCGCTCGCTTGACGCCCACATTTGAGAGCATCTCTGAGGAGACACGCCCTTGGACTCATCACTCAGGCTGTTGATTGCAACTCATACCTCGGTCTGGAATTCGTTGGTGAGTACTCGCGCTCGCTTGACTGCCCACATTTGAGAGCATCTCTGAGGAGACACGCCCTTGGACACATCACTCATGCTGTTGATTGCAACTCATACCTCAGTCTGGAATTCGTTGGTGAGTACTCTCGCTCGCTTGACTGCCCACATTTGAGTGCCGCTCTGAGGAGACACGCCCTTGTACACATCGCCAAAGCTGCCGCTGCCGATCCTGTTCTCCTCGGCCCACTCCGCTGTTGCCTTTTCAAGCTCTTCCAGGGCATACTCCTGGCATACATGAGGCCGTGCTGCATTCTTCTCAATCTCCAATCCCATCTCCATCAACACGTCTTCATCCTGGGACCCCATTGCTGCTGCTGGTGGTGCGGCTGCTACTGCTGCCGCTGCTGCTGCTGACTCCTCTGGATCTTCCTTCGTGCCATGTCCTTGTGTGTGCTCAGATGAGGTGACTGGTGGGGCGATAGTTTTTCACATAACTTACTAGTAAGTAAATCTCAACGTTTCGCATCAGCGGCGACATAACTTATGGATTAGTGGGGGGATATTGTGTCGAATTGATTCTGAATCCTATTCGTTTTCAGATCTCAAAGTCGCACTTTCCCACGTTTCGCCTTAGCTGTCCGCTATATCTCGAATAGAACAGATGCGATTGGATCACTGGCCGGTAGTTGAGACGTCTAGAAGTACCGTTATTCTCAATACCCTATCAGGACTCTACTGAAAGCACTTCAATCTCTTTCCCCTCTTCGTCCCCGCCCTCCCTCATTTCCCAAAACAAGTGAATACACAAGCGTATATACGCAATACGCATGACCTCCCTCGCGTATACGCAATACGCATGGGCAGGAATCTCATGATTACTAAAGGAGGAGATTAAGAGAGGAATGGAAGGACGGTAAGCATAGAATGGAGGAAGAAGATACAAATTTTCTGATTCTAGTCCTCTTTATAATTTTTACATTACCTGGTCTATGTGCTGCTGGTTTCTTATAGCTTCTCCACCACAGCAGCACGCCAATGAACAGCAGCATCACAGCACCCACAGCAATGCCGGCAATCACTCCCACAGGCAAACCGCCTCCAGACTGGGGCTGTTGTGGGGGGCTCTT